CTGAAGGCGGTTGATATTGTCATTCCTTTTTGTTGTGGTCATATGTTTGAAAACTGCTCTGCCTGTCTTTCCCAGGGCCCATCTGTTCATCCAATCTTGTTTGTTGTTGCTTTTGATGATTTGTTTTGCAGTGTTGTATGAAGTTGGAATGTTGGGTTGTTCCTGTCTAGATCCCCGTTTGGCGAGTGTGTCTGCTCTGTCATTTCCAGCTATGTCTGAGTGTCCGGGGACCCACTGCACTACTAGGTTGATGCCACAGAATGTTATCAGATGATGGGATCCAAACAGTATATGGGTCAAATCTTGGTTTAGGTGATGGTCATTTTCTATGGCTTGTAATACTGATAGTGAGTCAGAGAAAATCACAATATTCTGTGCTTTTCCAGGATGAGTGTCAAAAACTGCGGAGATGGTACAGTGCTGTTTCAATTGCCATCATTTCTGCATCGTAGTTGCTGCATTTCTCTCCACAGGCTGCAGAGATCTCATTGGAACTTCCATCTGGGTACTGTATTAGTATTCCATATCCGGCTTTGGTTGTGCCTTTGAATGCTGAGCCGTCCGTATAGACGTGTATCCAGTCATCTGAATAGCTGTCGATTGTTTGATGTGATGCAAGCATCAGCATCACTGCGTCTGAAGATTTTGTGCTCTTGTCTTTGAGAGATGTTGTAATGATTGGCTTTTTTAAAGAAAGGTGGGGAGGGATGTTTTGGTCGACTCTTTTGGTTTCTTTTCTATTTTGTGGTAGATGGTGGCTCTCCATTAGTTCTGTGATGTGATGCATGATTGACTTTTGTTGAATTCGTTTCTTTGGTTTCCATGTTTCTACTAATTTCCTGTTTGGGTGGTTGGGGCACATTCTTTTAGTTCTTTCATGTAGCTCCAAAACTGCTTTATCTCTGCGGATTCCCAGGGGTTCAACATTTGCAAGGATTTCGCACGCGGCGGTAGGTGTGGATCTCATGCCGCCATTCATAAAACGAAGGGCATTGTTTTGGACCTTGTCAAGGGTGTTGCAAGTAGTTGTACTGCACATAGTGAGTAGGCTATTGCTGTATTCCAGGGAAGATCGGACATAACCCAGGTATAGAGCTCTCAAAGTTTGTTTGTCTGACCCCCATGAACTGCTTGCGAGTTTCTTTAAAAGTTGGAGTCTTTTTTTTGCCTTGTTCCTTATGTTCTCCACTTGGCTTTTCATGGTTAGCTTATGGTCAAGTTTGACTCCTAGGTAAGTTGGATGTTCTTCTTTGGGGAGACTTTCATTTCCTATCTTTAGTTTGAGATTTTCTTTGGCTGCTTTATGGCTCTTCGTGAAGATGGTGTATACTGTTTTCGTTCAGTTTATTTTAAGTTTCCATTTCTGACAGTAATTATGGAGCCTCTTGAGGTCTTCATTTAATTTCCCTGCTACTACTATCGTGCTGTGATGTGTCTGCCAGAGAGCAAAATCATCGGCATAAAGAGTCTTTTCTGATTTCAGCACGTTCGTTACATCATTAAAGAAGATCAGGAACAAAGTGCAACTCAGACAGGAACCTTGAGGTAGGCCTTCCTCGAGTACTTATCTAGACGAGTGGGCATTGTTTACCTTGGTTTCAATGTTTCGATCCGACAGGAAGAACTTGATCCATTTGTAAAGTTTGCCATGTATCCCGAGGTCCATCAATTTCATGAGTAGGCCTTTTCTCCACACTGTCGTACGCCTGTTGGAGATCTACAAAGATGGCGACAGTGTGTTTACTCTCCTGAAATCCATCCTGAATGTTTTGACTCAGTTTAAAAAGTTGATCTTCTGTGTTGCTGCCTTTTCTGAAGCCTGCTTGGTGTATTCTCAAGATAAATGGATATTTTTTTCATCAAAATAAAGACAATTAAACAAGCTTTAAGATGATACTAATAACTTTACATGCCCCAAAATTGACGAGAGCCTGATTCCACCACGCTGCCTCACATTTGATTTTGAACCTAGGGGCTCTTTCAATCAGATGGCATTATGGTCCGCCAATGTCCCAACAATCACTGGATTATGCAGGTGGTAGGAGGGAGCCACTGACTTGACTGATATTTTCTTTCCTTTCCCTCTGTTGTTTCAATCGGTCTTCCTTCTTCACCTTGAACTATATGACTTATTGTGTCAGTGTGCTTCTCTTTACTTTGCCCCCACCAGGGCAGTGCTACTGACTGAAGTTGTCTTGAGGCCATTCCCAAAGGGGGGATATTAACATGCTCTTAAAGCACAGTAGAATTGTAAATGGAGTGATCTATCAATGTCATGCTCATACTGTGTCAAAATATCATTGTGGGGGGGGGGGAACTGCTGCTTTTTCTATCCTTGTCCTTACTATAGTCATTTTCTTCTTCATGTACTTCTTTAGTATGTTTGTCACACTCTTGTGAACTGCTATTTCCGGGGTGCCTTGATAGTCGAAGCAGACTTTGTGCTGTTGAGGCTAGAGAGGTGACCAGAGTTAGACTGATTCCCGGTTTGGACTTCTCTGTTGACATCCATCCCTTGGCGCTCATATGACCTTGTACAGTGGAACTCGGATTCAACGAGCTCAGATTCAACAAGATGAGATAGATTCCCTGTTTTTTTCCTTCTTTAAAATCAATAAAAATAACCCAAATTCAACGACTTCGGTCATTTTTCTCCCACAACGAACTTTATCTATTCCCGGAAACCACCCTTTGCACCTGCATCGTGAACCATTATTCACTTAACCGATTGCATGCGACCAATCAGCGGTCTTCTTTAATACCAACATGCGTTGTTGGCACGTGCACATGTCTACTCTGGCGTGTGTCGGGGTCGGATGAGCGGCCTGCACACGTGTGGCTGTGTGTGCATATCGGGGAGGGGGGGGGGCACAAGCAGTCCGGGCGTTGAACACGCAGAAATACAAACGCGTCAGTCTTTTTTTAACCCTCGGCAACTGATCATTATTACAATGATAAGCTAGTCTTTGACCATAGATCTACATATTGAATTGTGCGCTCGTCTATGGAATCAAAAGTAGCTGTATGCTAGGCTCTATACAGGAACACAAAATTTGGGTAAACAATCGAGGTGCATTTGAACGAATCGGTCTTTTTTTCTACACAGCTCATAACATGCAGGCATTTCAGGCACTACTTGTGACTTCTCTTTATACATTACTTCCTCAGTGCCTGTAATTATCTACACAAAACCTCGTGTTTGCTATAACGAAGACTCGGATTCAACGAGATTTTAGGTCAAGCCCGGCGACCTCGTTGAATCCGAGTTCCACTGTATAGTTGCGAACGCCGTAAAACCTTACTAAAACTAAATTTCTCTTTACTTAAACTTGGATTTTATGGACATGAACAAAATCCTGCTTCATAACTAGAAACCTGAAAAAAAAAATGTTTTTGGCGATTGTGTAAACATTAACACCACGATGGAATTTCACTCAGTAGAATGTAATGCAGTTGCATTTCCTTGGTGGGCATCGGTTATCTCTACCTGTGTGACTGGACTGGTGAAAAAATAAAACTTCCACCATCAGTCATTGATTGTGCCAAGTGCTAGCGCTAGAGCAGCAGACACACACAATATTGTATTACACAAGTTCAATGATCACACTGGGCCAAGATGCAGCTGTATAGTCCAAAATAATTAAGCATTCTGGACCTACTGAAGCAGGAATTCGTTTTGAGATACAATTTCCAAAGTTTGAACTTTTAGTTTCTTTTACTTTTGCCATTTGAATGAAGATCGGTATAAATGGGGCATCAACCAACGAACACAAAACTGAATCTAAAGACCTATACATCCTTATTTCATACATAACATCATGCATCAACTTCTGTAAAGATGGAAACACAAACAGGGACTTAAAAAAGTCAGTTTATTCAATGAGAACTTGAGGTGGACATGTCAATTAAGTGCTGCCAACTGACACTGATTTGCTTTGAACCTTTCTTACCAATTTAATGTGTGACATGAACAAGATGGAAATTTAATTGTATATATATATACATCGTATAACAATCATCAACAAAACCAAACATACTGTAACAGTAACAGACTTTACAGAGCTTTCAATAAAACTATAGGGCAATCTCAGCAGAAAAAAAAGCAGATTACGACAGTGTCAAAACCAAAATGAAAGTGTCCAGTCGTCACTTGTGAGGATCTCTGACCTCTGATACATTTGTACGTGACAAATTTTGCAACACCAAAATGTAGGGTCACATCAATGTGCAAATCTGCCGGTGCTTCATTTTTCACTCAAGGCATACCTCTAATCAGCCTTGGCTGCAGTAAGAATGTATAGCATTCCTCACCCCTAAACGCAATTAACATAGCCATGTTATGTAAATAGCAAATGAAGAGCAAAAACATTCCACTGAAAAGTGCCCTACTACCAGTGAAGAGAGTTAAATTCCTCACAGAGATTTTTTACAAGACAAGACCACTTGAAACTCCCCATGTACCTGCTACAGATTTCTGTTAATTTCTTTAACTTTAGATACAGAACAAAAGTCTAAGGTACCTTGTTAATTTCTGGGCTGGTGAATTATATCCAACACATTCACATTACAATCCAGTCTGAAGGTAGTTTTGTCATCTCTTCAGTTGGACAATAACTCAAATTTTAACCTCTGACAAAGCCAATAAGTCATGTACTCTTTCGCTTCAAATAAAACATTCCAGGAAAGCAAAGTTGACCACTTTAAAAACAATGTTGTGTTTCTTATTCTCTCACTTTCAGCATGTCACAAATCAGCGTTTTCAAAACAACTCAAGCATAACTCTCCTTATCCACTCTCAGACAACCTGGCATAAAATACAGCTCTCCATACACACACATCATTCTCTCTTTGACTCACACACACACACATCTTTCTCTTTCACTCACACACACATCTATTACCCTCACAAACACAACTCTCTGTCTCTCTCACATGCAAAAACACCCGTCTCTCTGTATCTCTCTCACCTACTCACACACACATTCATGCATTCTCTTCTCCCTCTCACAAATGCACATTCACATACTCCTCTTTTCCTTTCTCTCTCACACACACACAAGCCGTCACACACCCGCCATATCTTTTGCCTCCATTTCCTCCTCCTGTAAGCCATCCGAGACATATCTCTGCAGCAGTTCCATTTTCTTCCGCATGAGTAATGCTGCTTCGATCTGTAATGACAAAGTAAAAACGAAATTATGAGCAAATTTTGCTCGAGTGAAGCACATAAACAGATACAGGTACAGTGTCATCATTATCATTGAAAACATCAGCATCATTAACACCACAATCATATGCAGCAGCAGGAGCAATAGCAGAAGCAGTACCAACAAGATTTTCACATTTTCTTCATTATCATTAATGTCTATAATAACACTATCCATCCACATCCTTCTTAAGAGTTTGTTTGAGTGAAAAGAATACATCAGCAGAATCTGTCCATTTAGTGCAGGGGTAACACAGTCAGGAAAAATAAAAACAACAGAGGATAAAGAAAAAAAAACCTACCAGTGGCGCCCTCCAGTCACCCGCATGTTGAAAGCAACATTGTTTTAACTATCAAGTGGGCCGCACAAGCACTGAAACTTACCTCCTTCTGTGAGGGGACTGGAACGTGGGCGATAAAACGTTGGTTGTCTAAGTCCAAATCTGATGTTGATTCTGTCGGTTCCATCTCTACTTCCTGCACCTCTAAATCATCCTCTGCCAGCTGAAATAAAATAAAAAACATGTTCAGGTCAATCTTTGTGAGAAAAACATCAGAGGTATCTGAAAGAATTGTTTGTTTAGTTAAAGAGAACAAAATCAATAGAGTAATGGTCTTTAAGTGAAAGGAAAAAACAGGATGGACACAGAAATAACAGAGAGAAATATAAGTAAAAGAAGCCAGTAGGGCCCACCCAACCACCCACTGTCTGTACGAACAGTGTGGAAAGACCAAAAATCATCTCTTGTAAAGGTTGCCATGCAACAAAACAAATAATTTTTTAGGCGACATGATGAAATCAGGCGCTCATCAAAATAATGAAATCAAAGATATAGATATTTTTCTGTCGCTTTGTAGTTTTCATCAATTTTTTTCTCTCTCGGATGAACATCTTTTATGTCCATTTAAAAACGCATTTCTGTGTGGATTTTACTGAAAAAAAGTTGATTAAAGGCACCAAAAAAAAAAAAGTTATTTTCATGGCTGTTGAATTCACCAAACTTTGGCAGCCATTTTCTTGCAATTAAAACAGGCGAGCATGACCGCCGAAGTTAAGGATTTGTCCATTTCAAAATATAAAAGTACTAGTTCATACACAAAGATCAAATTGAAATGTATGCAAAACTCTTCCAATTTCAGCATTTGATATAAGCACAAACAGTAATCAAAAAGATCTGCTCAGATAAAGTCATAATTTAGATCCCTGATAATGTGGTCAAGTAAATGCAATTTTGCCCATTCTTATGACTTGTAAACAGTACATGGTTGGTACTGACAGGCAGGGTTGAACAAAAATAGTCTTAATAGGGGGAATAAAACATTTACACTTACAATTTTGTGCACATAGTGTTTTTATCCATTACAATTTCTTCTAAAACAAGTGTGGTTGAGACACTCAGCATTCTGCACCATACATTACAGTGAACCCTTGATGAAAAAAGAGCTTACCTCTGCAGCTGTGAAAAGTTCTTCCTCTTTCCCTGTGGCTTCCTCTTCTGTCATTTCTCCACTCTTCACTTTGTTCTGCTTTTCTTTCCATTCTCTCACTTTACTAGAGATTGCTGGGAATCAATTCATAGCAAAACAAGATTATTCAAAGCCATTATGTAACAATTGTTTGAAATATTGATGTGTGCATGGCATTGCTGACACTTGTGCATTGTGAAAGATAATTACGAATTAGATTGTATGTATAGAAAGATACATATGAGATATAAACATACAATTTCAAGGCAAGCAGCGACATAATATACCAAATTTAAAAACTCTACCATTTCATCATCCTCTTCACATAGGAAAAAAAATCTCTTCCAATATCCAGCTATCTTCCCCTGCAACTCAACATATCCTTTCATTTACATGACAAATAGACAGATCTCTAGGATATTAGTCAGTGACCTTGAAATTTTAAAAAATGCCACATATCACCAAATGTCAATACTGGACAGATCTTATTTTGTCCCGTAACAGTTCAAATATACATATGAACTGTCCTCAAAAGCTCAGCAGGGCTGAAGTGCCTTCTTTCCTCTACCCCTGATAAACAACATGAAAACAAAGTTGGTTGGGGGTTTTTTCCAATTAAGTAGTGAACATGTATACTTGTTCAGGTGTTAGTGTTTGATTTGAAATGAACATCGCCACTAATTTCTCTCTGAGACAGACATTGACAATCATGGTCTCCACCAATTTCTCTGCTCAGAAGTTCTAAAAAAACACTATATTACCCAGGTCTTTTCCCATCAACCATCTGTTCAAGACCCATCTGATCAAGTTCTCTAAGTAAGTGCAAGCAACAATTTACAAGAAAGTCTGAGTGGTACATACAACAAACTATTCAAAACAAGATCAAAGAAACAGTTGTTTGTACCTTTCCTCTCTGCCTCAAGTTCTTGAGGGACAATAATTCCATCATCTTCGTCTCTGTAGCCGTAGTAATCAGCATCGATGTCTTTCATCAACTCTGCTCGCGTTTTTCGAGGCGGTGGAGGGGCTGTGAAAAACAAAGAAAAGAATTAAAAATAGGAAAAACAAAAAAACAGGGGCAGCAAAATACACAATTTATTTCAAAAGACATATATATACAGTCAAACCAGACCCAGAAGATCACCCTTTGTTGAGAAGAAAAGTGGTCAACTTAGTCAGGTGGCCTTCTTGTGAGTGTCAATATAATCCTTTAAAAAAAAATCAAGAGGGGGAAGAAGGAAGTGGTTGTTTCTACAGGTCTCGGACAGATGGTCGTTAGAGCAGGTTTGCCTGTATATCCCCAAGCTGATCTATTGATGAAAGATTCAACAAGGACTGTTTGACAAGCTGCCAGTGTCCCCATTCACTATCACAGTAAGGAACTAAAAGTCCTCTTAGGAGAGTGCTCTTGATACAAGAGATCAAGTATTAATGTAAGACATCATATATGACATCTGGGTTTGCCTTATATTTTCAAAATTAAATCATTCACATGGCATACATGATCATTCTAACAAATAGAAAATTATGATGAGAGCAAAGAAAGTCAATTCATAAAAATCATCACTTCATACTTTCATGTTTACCATGACATCATTTAAACAACTCACGTTCTTGCTCAAACAATTCTCTCACACCAGGTAAATCTTTTGCAGCACCAAAGTACCTGAAAGAAAAAAAATCTTTTAAAGTCAAACCACATTTCCGACATCAGAACATCTTAAATCCATACCTCTCGGAGTCCTATACCCAACAATTATAACAATTTCGAGACAATACTATAATACAAACCAGGATATTAAAACTTAGCGGTACATTTCCCTCATTCTTAGTCTTCTTTGTGATTCATGTATATTAAAACGACAAAAGCTTTTCACCCAATTTTCACCAGATACCCAGAAGAAATGCATGCTGCATATCCAGTTGTTTCAGGCCGAAGGGCTAGAACTTATATATATGTAAAGTAAAAACAGAAAAGTAAAGTGAGTATCCAGTTGTAAAACCCATCTGGCACCAAGGGATCTCAGCAAATTTAGTCAGAATTGAAAAGCATGGCTTGTCTGTGTGACAGAACTGAACCTTTTGAAACTTTGGTGGAAATCCCATTTGTAAATCAAAGCAAGGTAACATTCCAGTCATATTAATTATTTCAACGTTATTATTTCCAAGACTTACTCAAAGGAATAGAATCTCTTCTCCTATACGTCTCTCGTGGGAGGGCTAAAATGGTATTTTGAAATCAACAGGCTGGTCGAGGGAGTAATTGTGGGGTTGTGTGAGCCATTGCAAGAACACAAAACTTAAAAAAAAATATTCCTGAAAAACCCCCCCACCCCCTTTTCAGCAGTAATCCAAATCCCTCTGATCATAATCGTATCGTAACCATTTACTTAAGTACACAATCGTTGAGATTATTACACCATGGAACCTAGAATCAAAATTAGAATTATAGACAAGCAAGTGAAAACCCTGCACTCACTTGTAGCCTTTGTTTCCTGGAACTTCTTTGCCATCACTGTCTAACATTTTAGGACCTGTTTTCTATAAAGGGAAATTTTTTTTTAGAAAAATCAAACAAAACCTAATTGGTTCAGTAAGGAAAAAAGAAATCTGTTAAAGTAGAGAGAAAGGAGCATTCACACATTGTTCTCTTTGGAGAAGCGAGTCAGCAAACAAATCTTATTGTTAGCCTCCTGCTCCACAAAATGTTTCTAGAATTTGTTGCCTTGCTTAGAAGGTAGAGAGGAGACAAGAATGGAGAGGCAAAAGATACAAAGCATTTCCAAAATGAACACACACATCATAGATGATTCTAAACTTATTTTTACAAATCTTAACATCAGATAAAATTGAACTCATATTTGATCTCTGAAGAACTAAAGGAAGCCTTTGCGGTTGTGGAAAAAGTTATAACTTAAGTAGTTTGGCCAGCATTGCACATCACACATCATGTTCCACTTGTACAAACAAAAATTTAATAGAGACCAAAGTTTTATTAATCATTTTTCAGAGTAGACAATGCACACCACAGAGACCTCTGAAAAAGACAAAGATTTCTTTTCAACTGAAACATCACCAAGAGAGCTGTTTAAGGACTGTTATGTGTAGTCAACAATGCCAACTACACCTATTTAATTACACCACAAGAATTAAAGGCAAAAAAGAAAAGCAAAAATTGCACAGAGAAGAGCTATCCACTTACCCTGTAATCTGGCCCTCCAAGTTCCAGAATCCTGTCCTCCCAATGGCCCTTTTCTCGAAGCAGTTTGTTGATTTCATCGTTAAGATCACGAAGCTTGAATTCACCAAGACCAGCTGTAGGAATCAAAACAATTGGCAAGTATTGATATGTAAAAGAACTTGTCAACATTTCAACATCAGTTTCCTTAGAGATGACATGAAAAAATCATTAAAATGTCATCACTGTTTGCATAAATTTGGATCAATTCAAATGCACAAAACTACCACTGTCAGGTCCTATTTCTTTTTCTTTCCTCTGATGTCTGTGTCTATAAGTTTTATATAACAAGCATAGTAAGGAGTCTTGAAATCCGCAATCAAATTTGAGAAAAAAGTTTCCTTTCCATGGATACGCCGCCATATTGGATTTTATTGACATGTCTTACGTAATGAATACCGCACTTATCACACATGGAAATTAATTGTTTTTTTGCATGCGTGTTCACAAACATTAAATTTAAAAATTTGTCTGTTGTTTTTTTCCTAAATGAATTAGAAAATTTTTAATGAATTTTTTCCTGAGGTAGCATTCAAGTTTGCGAAAAATCCGTGAAAATCCACTCCAGACACCACCAACAAAAATCTATATACCATATATCAAAAATTCAACAGACAAATTTTTAGCATTACCTCTTCTCTTCATTCTGTGAAAATTTCATGAAGATTGGATGAAAAATGGTGGAGTTATTCAAAAAAGTATACACAAAAGTAGCATTTTGAGAAAACGGCCGATAAAGAAAAATAAAATACTGACTTTATGAGGAAATGGCGGTTACAAACATGCCCGGTATGGGAAAAAATACGATTTTTGGGGGTTCTTATGCCATGAAATAGTTGTAGGAGAGGCTGAGGAAGCTAAAAATGCCTGCAACTCAAATTCCATGATTTTTAGCCAAATTTTGATTTTAATTAATGGACAGTACCTTTGCCCTTTTGAATGAGCATTTTTTATCATGTGAAAGAATGTTGCTGTCAAAAAGTGCGCACACAATGAATTTGTATGGTGTTAGTATGAATGCGTTTTAAATCTCCTATGTATGCCTTCGGCCCATGCTGAGGGGAAAGGCGGGATACAAATGCTCTTACTATTATTATTATTATTATATTTATGATGATACAAATTCCCTTCGAAATGGCAGATAAAACAACACAAATGAAAGCTTCCTTCCATCTACTACCCTAAACCTTCACAGCTCCTCCAGCAACAGACCAAACAATTTAATCTGAATCCCAACATCAAATACATAAAAAACAGTACGACTTCACAATTTCATCTCTTATAACATTTACATTTCACTCTTTGAAGGTATTGTCACTATGGTTTGTGATCAAAAAGACACATTCAATAATTCATATCTCAGAAAGGAAATTAAGCAAAAAGAAAATGCTACTTCACACAAAGAAATACAGAAACAGTATTGTACCATTTTGAATTTGTGCCACCTTCCTGGAGATTTCACCAATGATTTGTCTCCTCCACTTTTCTGCCTCGTGAAGATTATCACAATCAGATGCCAAATATGGTCGTCGGTCCTAAAAACGATAAAACATAGAAGCATTGTAAACATTACAGCAGTAGAGAAAAGAAAATTGTACATGTGCTTGTAGCATGTAGATTTCCCTGACCTCTAGTCCCTGCCAACCCCTCTCCCTTAGCTCCAACGTATGGCATCTCAAACAAAAACCTAGAAAAATTTATAACAGCCCTCAGTTCAAACTGGGTTCATAGGCAAATTTTCTCTTATTAGACAAGATGGGTCCTTTGGCATAGAGATAAAGGGTCCTTTGGCATAGAGATGAAGATTGCATTACATAGTAGAAGCGGGTTCTTGGGTGAACCGAGCTCTTATGTGGCGTTTTCTTTGTTAGAGACTACTTTATTATTTATTTTTTTTTTACTAATGAGGGCAGTGGAATATTTACAAAATACAATCTGATGATTAAGTTCAAACAAAAGAAAAGACTCCCTCACATCTAATTTACCTTCTATTAATTTGTTTGTAAACATATTTTTTAAAAAGCCATTACCTTCTCTTTGATCTCACCAACTTGAGAAGCTCTCCATCGAGCCAATGTAGTCCTGTTAAAGAGAAAATATTGAGCATCTATAAGTATAAAAGTATGCACACTTTCTGTAGGTACATTTATGTTTTACAAAAATTCCATTACAATCTGTGCCTTTTCTTTTAGAAACAGTAGTTAAAGTAATAAAAAGAAGAAAGTAAAAAAAAACCCAGTCTTTTCAGGATTCCTATACTAAATAATATTTGGGGGGGGGGGGGGGGGGGGGGTAAAATCATACAGAAAACCTAAAATCCTATTTCATCTCTAACACTTGCAATCATAAAGAAAATCATTTGATTTTAAATTTGATGCATGTGTGTCATAAAGAAGAGAGGTTACAACTAAGGAACTGAACTGAAAATTAATTTTTCTCAAAGTATTACGTAAACATTTATAATTTAAAGCAGATATAGATATACAATGTACTTACATGGCTTTTTCACTGTTACGAGCCTGAAAACAAATGAAAATGAGAAAAGTTTACATCTTTCCATGGCTTTCCAACTTAACACCTTAAAAGAAAAACATTAATTCTCATTATTTTCACATATTTGACCGCCTGAGCAAATAATAGATTTTAAAAATGTAGGGATAGCAGTCAGTATTGAGAGAAAACTGACACTCTTCTCTCTCCGAAGAGACCAGACAGCACTCAGGTGCTCCAGATTTGATGTGGCAGCTTGCGGGTCAAACCAATTCAAAACTAAAGAACTACAATCCATGGACCCCAACTGAAGCTAGGAAGACCATTGACTGAGGTATGGGTAGGTTGAAACTATTCAGGGTAAAATTTTACTTTCACACCCGTTCACAGAATAGATATGCACTGCTTTAGAGGGCTAAACAGCTATTTTTTTTTCTGCAGAACACAAGATATGACCATATAAAAACAAACGTTAATCAATAGTTTTCAAGGAAATCTCAACCCTAATTACAAAACATCAAATTATGGTGAAATACAGTGGGGGGGCATGCCCCCTAGAAACCTCCCAGTTTGTTAAAATTAAGTGAAATATATGTGAGACAGCATGGCGAAATCAGGTGTTCGTCCAAAATAATGTAACAATGAAGAAACTGACATTTTTCTGCTAGTTTAGTCATTTTTATCAATTTTTTGTTTTTTGGCGTAACACCAATTTTGTCCAATTAAGAACACATAATTTTGCGGGTGGATTATACTGAAAAACGTTGATTAAAGGCATAAAAAATGTAAGTGTCCAGTTTCCACGGACTAACAAGCTATGGAAATAACACAAACTTTGGCGGCCATTTTCTCGCTAGTTGCTAATTCTACCATTGAAACCAGGCGATCCCACATTTTTCAGTCTCAAATATCTTGACTTCTATTGAAGATAGATGGGTATTTTTTTTCAGCGATAGCAAGACAATTGAACAGGCTTTAAGATGATACCAATAACTCCACATGCCCAAAAACTAACGAGCGCCTGATTTCACCACGTCTTAACACACATTTTAACTTGGCAATTCAGTCTCATAAAGTGATAATTTGCATAAATATATACAATAAAAATTTGAGTAAAAAGATAGCAACAAACAAAAAAGAGCTACAGAATGTAAACGTGAGACCTGTGTGAAAGTAAAAAAACACCCTATTCAGTACTGTCGAGGTAAAGGAGGATATTATATTCTTGCCAAATGAAATGCCTGTCACTTTTACCCAAATCATGTAGTACCGAGTGCCCATTGGCATGATCGGTTCGGTTTCAACGGTTCGGTAGGTGGAGCTAGCCAGATTGAGGGCAAAAAGGGACCATAGTGCCGATGGTGACCCTAAAAAACAAACGGACACTGGGTATTTATGAATTCTCATTAGATAAAGACATACACATCAAATGCGAACCTTTTAGAAAAACTATCTTACTCTGCCTAAAAATCTTTCTCTTTAAAATATATTTAAAATGTATCTTTTCCAACCCCTCTCGCCTCACCCCAGCAACACTTCCCCCCCCAATGATTCTTGAAAGTTTTATATATTATACTGAGAGAAGAACACAATACTCTTCGGCTTCCATCCTCTTCTCGTGTGCAGACCCAGCAACGCTCAACAAGGTGGGAAGAGGGGTTGGAGGGGGGTTTTAAATAAAGAGTAAAAGGGAAAAGGGTAGGGGGTGAAGTGAGAAAGATCATTCAGGGCGCCGTGAACGTATCCTGCAAACTACATTCACTCGGCTGTGAACTGTGAACGTAATCACTGCGTTTTTTTAACAGCAGACCCTCAATTAAAAGCCCTAACAAAGCTAACACTAACTACTAACTAACAGTAACAGTGCTCAAGTAGTAGACAGTCTCAAACTGATAACTAACGAAATAGCTATTCCGACTCATGGCTATTGGGACTCAAACTTCAATTCATAAGGCATGCTGGAATTGATGTTTTTCATTATAATAGCGATTTCAGCAGGACTTATCTATTGGTTGATGATTATTCCAACGGACTGTTCTGCTGTCATTTTAATATTGTTTTAAAATTTAATTTGCATTCTATTTGTCCCCAAGAAACGAACATTTTAATGAGATTACTAACATTTTGCTGATACCCCTGCTTCAGACTGTAGAAGGATTTTTGCTTGTCCAACACATGTATGGTTTTATCCTGATTTTATTTGAACAGCATGTAGCCTAAAGTATGCTGTTGGAAAAACTTTTCCATTAGACTACTGTTATTTTGAATGACTGACTTTTGTTCCCTTTGGAAGGGTTTAACTTTTCTCTTCTTCAGTTGTAACTGGACTTCCAATAATTGATCAATGATTTTCTCTTTCTCGTCAAATAAAGTGGGTTTAGACTATCCTACACCTAAAGTTACTTTATATTCCTTTGTTGTTCCGAAACTTTGATTTTCGATATTTTTAACAGCTTTGTGTAGTATTTCAGATTTTGCAGCTATTATTCACTTTTGATGTCTTAAAGTTATACTTTTCTTAACCCCTTCACTGCTACGTACAACAATCTGGGTCCTGTTTGGGGATACTTGTTTTGACCCCACCGACGATTACTTCTGGTTCTAAACGATTACTTTTTGATGCGAGTGCTAATAATACTAATACTAATATGGAGAGATAGCCTATCAAACCTAATGGCAAAACATCAAATTATGGTCAAATTCAGGGGACAAAATCACCCCTCCATGCTTTTGCTAGGTTAGGGGGGCAACCTGAAGCCCCCCCTTGCCTTGCTAAAAAAACAAGTGAAATTTTACTGCTCATTTTGTAGGCTAGACTAGATCTACTGACAAAACATCGATACCGAATATTTAAATCAGTATCGACCAGTAGGCCTACTCTCCGTGGATGATGCCAAGTCAAAGTCAAAATAGACGGGACCCAGATTCTTAAGTTGTACCTTTGAAGGCTAAATTCATATCCGTTAGCCTCCACCAATGAGACTGCCCGTAGCGATATATCGCACTCTCGGCTTGGGGGAAGAGGTGTTGGCTGTCGATTTTGTGCGATGTGATTTTTTAAAAAATTACAGAAAACTCAACACTCAACAAAATCAAATTAAACATGTGAAAAGACAAATGGTGATGGAAGTAATGATGATGCTGTAGTGGTGGTGGAAAGACCCTACTAAGTTGTCGTTTTCCATGAACTTAGACACTGCTATATTGGGTAGATCTACTGAGAGTGCAATCAGGGTTAGGCCTCTATAGGTCGGTGAGTATCACTCACTGACGTGCTCAGTAAACCAAATTTCTTTTTAAAAAATTCACTTCATCATCATAGTTTATCGACAGAATGCGCAGTAAGTATATAATATTTAAAGGATCGACAAAAAGCGCTGCGCGATCCGCTGATCAACAGAATGCGCAACAATCGATGGATTGTCGTGCGTTTCCTCGATCAACCAAATGCATTGCGCGGTCGATGGATCGCGCAAATTAACAGATCACGTCCAACAACTACATCTAAGTATAGCCAACCGCATGGCACGAAAACTGCCGTAAAGACGCTGGAGGATTAGATCTAGATCTACCCCCCCCCCTCCTGCATTCTTCATCACTAAATATACATTAAAAAACAAACTTCAAAGCAGCTCTACAAATTATAATTTATGACTCTGTTGGTCAGTCAGGAGAAGGAAAAGAAAAAAAAAAAAGTCAGGGACCGGAATCGAACCGCTCCTAAAATCATTGCATGACTTCAAACACATTACACAGACGCGCTGTCTATTTGGCCATCAGAACTTCCGAGAGCGTGGTGTAAATTAAGGGTTATAACATAGACACTTCCATCTTTGGTGCCATGCGGTAGGCTATATTTAGATGTAGTCACCTGATCGGAGGGGAATCCTGGTCTGACGTCCAACAAGATGGGCGCCGTACCTAAAAATAGTTTGCGTCTTTCTACGTTTAATCGCATGTTGAGAATAGAGGTGGCCATTGCCAATAGCAATATCCAATAGCAGGTGAGCTGCCAATGAAATGAAGCCATGGGGAAACGTTTTTCATGATTATGACGGGGATCTAGATATCTAGACTCTAGTCTATATCTAGATCTATATCTAGAATCTACACCAGAGTAGATCTACCAGTCCCCAGTCAGGAAAAGTTCCGAAAAGATAGCAGCAGTGAAATTGAGTGAGTGAAGTGATAGCGGGCGGTTGTAGACTTAAGTGAGGAAGGAGTAGGCCTACAGAACACCTTCCGTTTATTCAAAAGGTATGTTGCCCTTACCATGATTTATTACAAGTCCAATAAGATCAATGAACAAAAAGGTGTATATTATTTCAAACAACGGAGGATATAGACTGCAGAAGTCTTGTCTCCACTCAAATTCGTCGCGAGTTCGTGTTGAAAGATACTGTTATTTCCGGTTTCGATCTTATATTCCGGTTCTTCTTTTATGGGACGAATAAAAAACACTGATTAGTTTTGCAATCGCGAAATAATTTGTGGCTTCTTCAATGAAAAGGTGCCCCTCTTCGTGGGAAGACGTCGATGTTGTTGTTTAAAATAAGTTTTGGGGGTTAGGGGGGGGGGTGGTGGGGGGGGGGGGAGGGTTCTTCTTTTTTATCTGTTCAAAGGATGTGCAGTTCAGGGGCCGTTACCTCCTAAAGCGGTGAACGGATGAGCTTGTGCATTTTTAGAATTTTAGATAGGCCTTTGCATTCAATTTTTTGATGGTAATGCTGCATTATTGTAGCCCCCCCCCCCCCCCCCCCCCCCAAATCAAACCACACATACTCAAATAGAGCAAAAGAAGAATACAAAGCACAATTTTTTTTTTAGTCAAACAAAAGGTGGCGGTTATAAAGCCTAAAAAATGTATCGAAAAAGGTGGGGGAGGGGGTAGAAAAAGAAGGGTCGAAGGACTTAGCCCACATCTGCTTACCGCTTTTCGGGATGGTCATGGAGACCTACACGTGATGTCCTGGCTTACATAATAACCAGGACAACTTCAAGGACCTCAAAGGTGGAAGATGTGAAAATTGTCAACAGTTTGGCAGGGAGTACAAACAACAACCACTAATTTCCCTCCAGTTTCCCCGCAAGAGTTTCTGTCGTCAAGAAGACGTGAAAATGTGCACCCAGTGTAATTACAAGGTTATCAGTACAGTGAACACAGTCGGCAGTCGTAGCCAGTGCAAGAAGGCGAAAGGGACAAAAGACAATGAGAAAATGCAAAGGGCTTTTGTTAAAAGACTGTGTATTCAAAACTATTTTAAGAAACGAGTGTAAAGAAATAAAACGTCAGCACGCGTAAGCATTGAGGTGTGTGTATGTGTGTGTGTGTGTGTGTGTGTGTGTGTGTGTGTGTGTGTGTGTGTGTGTGTGTGTGTGTGTGTGTGTGTGTGTTGGGAGGGGGGGGGGGCGGTTGTTAGTTCAATTGGTAGACACACAAAACCAAGTGGGCCTGTGCTTGTGAATTTTTCAAATCTCCTTTACAGTTCTACTTTTCTCTTGAATACTGTGTCGACATCCTTATGAAAGCGTTTAAGCTATCATTAACATGTGGCCTCAAAGCTCTAGGGAATCTTTCTTGTTGGGTTGTTGTTGAAACAACTATCATGAAGCATAAATATTAAGTTCTGATTCGCCTCAAATTCGGAAATTTCTTCCTTTTTAATTGTCATACAATGTTGAAAGGGGTGTTCACTATGAGTTTCGTTAAATCCCAAAATGTATTACAGATTTAGGCTGTGGAGGCGTCTGTGGTGCATATAATAAATAATTACAAGCTCTTCGCCGTTGCACGCAGAACACGATTCCCAAGTAGAGAAGATTGGATTTTTAAAAGTTGTTTTAAATTTTGGTTTTATTTATTTATTAATTATTCTGGGTTTTCAAAAATAAATAAATATATAAACGGGTTTCTTCCGGGATATGGTATCTCTCTCGATCCAAGCCAGTCGTGATATCTTCTGATACTGACTAAACTTGCCGAATGGTTCCCATGTCGTCTTATAAATAACCAGTTTCTTTAGAATTATCAGGGGGTATCATCTGTTGTAAAAGAGGATTTCTTTGTCTTCAAGTGCCAGATCTGAAACAGACATCGACGATCATAGTTCGGCGCTCATTTCTCTGTTGGGAGGTTCTTAATAAAGAAAAAAAACCTGATAAAAAACAACAACACCCCACCCCAACAAACAAACAAACAAACAAACAACAAACAAACATAACAATTGAATGCCTATCTTTGGACCTGTTCAGGTTATCAAACTAAATTATACTTGGTCCACCTCTTCGTCTTTTCCCTTTTTTTCCCCCCAGTGACATCAAGATGTTCAAGGCTACGGTCATATCATTAATCAAGGAATGCAGGGAGCTGATTAAGTGATTAAGTAGTGGCTTCTAGAGATTATATAATCCAAACACATGGCATCTTGCTGTCAGCACCCCCCCCCCCAATCTCTTTCAACCCTGTCGTTTTGTGGTAGTGCTGTGCTATCTCCGACATTCTGTGTTTGTGTACGGGTCCACGCTGGTACTGAAGATTGGTAGCAGCATGGAATGGGTATGTACAGGCCTATGTCTGTTGCTGATGCTGTCTATGTGTTTGTTGGTGTTATTGTATTTTTGTTGTTGTTATTGTTGTTGTTAATTTATTTTGTTGTTGTTGTTGTTGTAGTTGTTGGGTTGCTGTTGATGATGTTGCTTTTGTTGTTGTTGCTTTATATTTTGAAATCCAGATTTTGATTTTGATTGAAGCAAACGTTATCCAGTCCCAAAGAAATGTCAATAGAGAGTGTATAATACGATAATTCACAGCGTAGACGAACCTCAAAGATTTATGCGAATAACTTTCGTTTTGTTGGACACCTGTTTGAATAAATGAATGACAATAAAATACCATAACAATGTAGTTGGGTTGTTTATTTGTTATTGTATTTTTGGGGGGGAGTGTTTTGTTATGATTTTGTTTTGGAGCATCAGAGCAGAGGAATGAGAAGTGTACCATGATTGTCGATATTTGTTTCAGAAATGAAGACCTCAACCAAACTATATCATAAGTTATCATTGAACATAAAGAGATGTTCTAATGATGTCAGGTGTGTTTTTTTCAAATATTATTTTCATATTGGATACAGTCTTTCTGCCCATTTATCTGTCTGTTCTTCTCTCTCTTTCTCTGTCTGTCTATCTGTCTATCCGTCTGTCTGTCTGTCTGTCTGTCTGTCTGTCTGTCTGTCTGTCTGTCTGTCTGTC